TGAGGTGTGGTGAGGTGAGGTGAGGTGAGGTGAGGTGTGGTGAGGTGTGCTGTGGTGTGGAGTGGCGAGGTGTGCTGTGGTGTGGAGTGGCGAGGTGTGGTGTGGTGAGGTGTGGTGAGGTGTGGTGAGGTGAGGTGAGGTGTGGTGAGGTGTGGTGTGGTGAGGTGTGGTGAGGTGAGGTGTGGTGTGGTGAGGTGAGGTGTGGTGTGGTGAGGTGTGGTGAGGTGAGGTGTGGTGAGGTGAGCTGTGGTGTGGTGAGGTGTGGTGAGGTGAGGTGTGGTGAGGTGTGGTGAGGTGTGGTGAGGTGTGGTGTGGTGAGGTGAGGTGAGGTGAGGTGTGGTGAGGTGTGGTGAGGTGAGGTGTGGTGTGGTGTGAGGAGCTACGTTGATGAAGAACAACTCGGGACTTTAAAGCTGTGAGTCGTTTGCCCAAGTTTCCCAGAGCTATTGATCTGATGTGGGGAATAAGAACAGTTTTAAAAGCTTGATGACTCGGTCCCACTCCCTCCTTTCAGACAGGCAGCAGGTGCGAGTGTGCCCAGAGGCCTAGAGGAGAATGGAGACAGTCATCTAAGCGTGCTGTATTCCAGTTCCTGTTTTTCAGAGTGAGCTAATGAAAATTTCTATCCTATTCTATGTAATCAAATTTTTAATATGATTAAATACTAGAAGTATCTAATACATCTGAGAGAAGTGACCGTGATGGCATGATTAATGCTCACATACGCTAAGTAAGTTGACCTGAATAGATTACAGTTGCTCTGGAGGGAAAATGAGGAGAGGTTTAAACCCCAGTGACCTGATGATTTGTCCTGTGTGGGACAGGACCATTGTGGGTATTCGCTAATGGGCTAAGAGTGGACAGATACCTAGTGGTCATGACGGCAATCATTACAAGGATACAGGGGGAAAGAGTCCGGCACAGCATGAGGGTATGTGGGCTTAGAAAACCGTTCTCTACTACGGCTCTGCACGAGAATCACCCAGGGACCATAAAAAGTACCAGTGCCTGGGTCCTCATCTCAGAGTTTTGGGATAGGTCTCTGGCATCAGTATTTTTCAGAAGCACAGATGTTTTAGTGTGTTGTTTATATAGGTAAGAGCAAATCCTTCCTTATAAATCAGACTAAGTAAATTTTACCATTAAGAACAAAGGAAACAGAATCAATAAGAAACGTGAGCCCTTGCGTATGAAGGCACCGGATTGGTTCTTTAAGCCACCACTCAGAAAGAATGGGGTCTAGGATTTCCGAAGGCAGGGGCTCGTTGTCGGTTAGACTCAGCTTGATGGCTTCCTCCTCCTCTGTGAATTGTACGTCTGGAAGCTGAAGGCAGAAGGGAGAGAGTAAGAGACCCCTGAGCCCCACGTTGACGAGCAGTGCTACTTTACAACTGACTAGAATGAGGCTTGTCTGTCTCTGACGTTTCTTTTGATACTGCTGCTTGTAACCATTTTAAAACCCGAGTTCTGGGTGCTAGTATGGATTAGATACTAAATAGAACCTAGTGTAGCTAAGAGAAGTCACACGAGAACACAACTGACTTTCACATATGGTACCAGGGTCACAGTGTGTCACTTTTTGCCCAAAATCTGCTTGATTCATATCACACATCTGTTGTGGATTTGGTTTAACACTTGTACTATGTTCATTGGGTTCCCAAAATTGCACAAGAATCCCACACATGAGATGCTGAGGGACCCTGTCCCCTGCTGGTTTCAACTGCTAAATAAAGTTGCCACTGACCAAAGGCTGGGCAAGGAGCAGACAGAGGCAGGACTTTAGGATTCAGGGGGAAGGGGAGTGTTTAGAACACCATGCTGGGAAAGCAGAAAGATCAGGCCTGAGAAGTGCAGGAAGAGAGAGCACACCAAACACATGAGAGCCGGGAAAGAGTGGCCCCAGCTGGGTCTGGGGCGCCAGGGTGGAGTATAGGTTTTAGTAATAATTCAGGAATATCAGAGGGGAGAGTGCGTTAACTGATGGGTGGATGTTTGGGAGTGGACCAGCTGATTAAAGCCATTAAATACAGGCTCTCTCTCTCTCTCTCTCTCTCTCTCTCTCTCTCTCTCT